TAAACATTGAAATTTTGGTGGAAATAAGTACATAATATAAGTAAATAGGATACAACAGTAAAATTTTTGGACCAAAAATTACTTGGAAAATGCTTTCAGAGTTCAGACAAATCCGGTAGTCAGAAAATAGATAGCTGGGATCCAATCTGTAGAGATGAGGAGTTCAGCTATCGCCGGTCGTTTGTTGTCACATTCAGGAAGGCATGAAACATAGAAAACACTAAACAATTTACTACTAACAAAACACAAAATACAAAATGGCTGATACAACAATGACTGGATGGTACCTAGTCTAACTGAAACACTAGCAGTGGTGAAAACACTAGCAGTTCAGCCCACTTGGTGGTCTGGGTTAAGTGCTCTAATGAGTGGACCACTGAGGCCTCTCAGCGTTGTAGTTTTGAGTAACTGTGAAATAATAGTAAAGTCAAAATGGAAAATAGTTATTAACAGCTTCTGCTGCCAGATAATAACAATGTCTTACTCAAACATTAGCCAAGGCAACTACGGTTTTAACAACCATTAATCAAGTAGTAACCATCCCTAGTAGTAATCAAATAGTAATCATAAATCAAGTAGTAACCATCACAGGCTTCAGGTACAAGCCAAGGAGTGATAGTTGGCAAGGCAGAACTTGACCACTGGTGGAGGGATGAAGATCAATGCTGAGTGGCTTGTGGATCAAGTCACACACACATACTACACCCAGGCACACCACACTCACTCCACACTGCACTCAGCACCATCACTCTTACCTTATGGCAGGAAGTATGTCCAAAGGGCTGTAGCCATCTTACCATTTCCTGGACTGTTGGGAGAGCTAATGATTATCTAGTGCCTAGAGCACACTTTGAAAGTAAATGGTATTTGGCAAGCAAATAGAAACAAATAGGTGCCGAGCACAGGAATGCATAAGCGGACTAGGTCACACGATACCTAAACGTTGAACATCAATGAAAGTACAGCAAGAAAAAAGCAAATGGTTATACAGTCCCAAGACTTGAATCTGCAAATCCTAATTTTGCACTTCTGGTAGATTAGCTAGTCAGACTAAAGTTTCAACTACTCTTGACACAACATGATTCCCTCACTGATGTATTGGGCATTCATGTGTGGATTATGAAAGACAACTGGTCCTACTAAGTCGCACAAGTCATTAAATAGACTCCTATACTCCTAGTCACACTAGCATACTAATCTGTAATTATACTCCTAGAAACAACTAGAAAATTGGACTAAGTCACATATGTCTGGATTCATAGTATCTAGGAAAAGCACAAGGCTCATCAACTTCAAGTTGGTATCTAAATCAAATTTTGGTTCATAGGTGGAATCTCTTATCTTCTTTCTTGATGGCCAGGAGTTGGTCAAGTGATCATCGGTTCTCATCAAGAAGACTGTAGCTTCACACCAACTGCTCCTAAACGTCAAATAAATGCGTTCATAAGAACTAGCCTTCTAGAAATATCGACATCAGGAGGATGTTTAACTGTTTTGTCACACACAAAGTCATCAATGCATGGAAGGGGTTGCAGAAAGTAAGTTATTCAAGGGTTGACACAACATGGTTCAAGTAAGCGAAATGAAAATTGTGCAATAAAAGGACAGGATTAACATGAGAACCATTGAAAACCATCTTTCATTCTTTATAAACAGGCATGAATGACTGGAAAACATTTGTTAAGAGCTCAGCAATGACAAATATAAGCATGGCGACATTTTAATGAGATGCAATGCACTGTACTCACCAAAATGGAGCATCAGGATGGGATTAACCAAGCAGAGGTGTAGATCAAATCATGCATTAAGGCATCTTAAACAGGCTTTTGAAGGTCAGAAAAGAATCAGGTGCAACCAGTGAATTTTCAATTCAGCAATCAGGGGTGCAGAATAACCAAAAGTGCATAACATATGGACTTGCAAGAATCTCGTCTCATTAACTTTTACTCTGCTTAAATATTACACCAAGGGAAACAAGATACAAGATTAATAACATGCACATGACACTCGAAAGATAATGACATACATTAAGGTACAATTGTAAATGAATGATTCTACTACATACTATAGCTAATGTTCTGCGGCCCTCTTATACGTTTTTCATTCATAACTTCTTACCATGAGACATTTCATAAACAAGTTTAGACTCATTTCAAAGCTCTTTCCAAGGGCTATCGCATGGCTTCTCCAAAAAAATTCCATATGCTATTCGTAAGGTGCCAAGAAGCAAAAAAAGTGTCCCGAGTGGCCCTGTTGAACGGGGCTACTCAGGACACTTGGAATAAAACTTAATTTTGAAACATTTGAAGCATGCAGAGTGTACTCATCCATTACTAACAGTACTCTGAAGTCCTCCTTTTTCATTGTAGATGATGTAGAGGTAGAATAAATGACATTTTCTGTGATTTTTACTCGTTTTTCCTTTATTGATATGATATTACCGTATCCATGAACAGGCCATTGAGCATTTCAACTACCTTGTCCACTGCAAGCTTAATATCAGCAGCATTATAGAATTTTTTCTGTATCTGTACTCTTACAGAATGGCTTGTAATTTCACACCATTTTAATTGAGTTAAGTGAATTTACTATAAAAAATAGATTGTGAAAAACATACCTGAAACAGAAAGGAATGAATGTTTTAGTGACAACCATCATATATTTTGGAGAAATAAATCATAGTTTAGGTCAATTACTTTTCATGCTAAGATGTCTGGTGCACAATTCTATATATGGCATCCTATGCACAATTTTGTGATGACCAACAATGCACTAATTTTTCAATAAGTGAAATTCTTTTGCTGAGCAAGGTAAATGTAATCAATATTCTTTGTTTTTAATCAATTCTTTCTTAACTGGAGCCTTTGCTAACTGAGGTTCTACTGTAAATGCATTTTTGGGGGTGTCCCGAATAGCCTCGCTGGGGGGTGTCCTGAGTAGCCCCGCCATGCGGAAATGGCTGCCATTTTTTTTTTATTGAGGCATGTAAATTCCGCAAATAAAGTTTTCATGCTGACACTTGTCTGCCACTTTTTTCTAAGCAAAATCTTTTAATAGGGCAAATATATTCTTTTTAATACAGACGTTAGCAGAAGTAACTTTTCAAAATATCTTTTTCACAATTTTTGTCCAGGAATTTTTCAAAGCTAGTAAAGGTAGTATTTTTGAACTTCCTTTATACTACATAAAGGAAAAATGTTGACGTTAACGCCACTATATTTAGTTTTGCAATATTCCAATTAGTTATGCTACTAAAACAGTTTTACGCCGTGTCGGAGGACTGTCCTGAGTTACCCCGCCCTTCCCGAGTAGCCCCAGTTGACGGTATATATTAATTCAATTCTTGACAACTTACTATCAAAATTGTAACAAATATTGTTCTTCAATTTAGAGCCAAGTTATCACATGAATATTTATTATTTGTACTGGCCTGTGCATTATGTAGGAAATGACTGATTCCTAAAATTTTGAATTTCATTGGAATTGGGTTTAGCATGATTTAGATTTATGATACATGACATGATAGTTGATAGAACTCCTAAATCCAAGATATTGGAGCTGTAAGATTTGATATGCTTTCAAAATATATAGCACTACAGCTAAATATTTCTAGTAAAATGTGCAGTTTTACAATATTGGACTCAAACCCCAATTTTCTTCACCAATCATAATCCAACTACCAAAAAACTAACATCAGATCCTTTGTTTATCCTCCTCCATCTGAGCAAGTTAGCACGGTAATGCCAATATACCTATTTGCTACCTTTGAATGGAAATAATATTCTACTGATACAAAATAAAATTGAAGTATTTTAAGTTGTGTGCAATAATCTTATTGTTCATTCAGTTCTAGCATGAATTTTTCCTTTGGCATTGTCCACAAGATACTATGTTATAATTTCCCTTGGTAAAGTCTTATTTAGATGGAAACTCAAGTGAGATTTGTTGTAGATAACCAATAAGTGCATACATACACATATGTACAGTGTACACTGAATCTTATCACGCATATATTAGCAAGAAAAATCCTAGGTGGATCTGAATTGCAATCTTTGTGTACCTAATGTCAATAGTCCATAGGGCTCCTTATGTGTGTCCAATATGGGCAGGCATTACATATAATTTTTAAAGGCATGCTTGCATGTCAAATATTAACAATTCTGACTAGATCGCATTGCATTATTTGACCTCCTGCAATTACTGAAGTTTATCATAGAAAAACTTGCATCTCTCTTTGAAGCATCACAGAGCTGTGCAGTCTTAGATTTGGCTATTAAAAATCCCTCATTCACTTGAGCAAATTTGGGGTTGACAAGCCCCCTTGCCTCAAGAATATTGTTCTTAAGTGTTACAGTGGCCTGGATTAAAGTTGCCTCATTTCAACCTTAGTGTTGTGAGGAAACTCCACTACTCATTTGAGTTAATTTTCCAACCGTTATGTATAATTGCAACAAGTTTTTTGAAAATCAAATGCTAATCGAAATTCATCTGTGAAACAACCATGCTCTCTGAAAGATTAGCAATTTGTGGAATTATTGACAGTTATCCTAGTTAACTTTGCAGATTATGAATAGTATATTTGAGAAACAGTAGATATTTTGCTTAAACCTTTAATCAGTGAGCAGACTTAACTACGTACCTATTTTATATTTTTGTATGACATCTAGAATGGCTGGTCTCATTGATGTTTTACACATGTGATATATCATATACATACATACATCTTAGATATATTAAATGCACTGAATGCACTAAAAGTCAAGTTACACCTCAACATATGTGTATTAGCTTCAGCATTTCTCTATATGTGATCACCTCTTCTTATTTATATTTTTGGGAAGGAATTTGGTAAATGAACTTTTCACAACTAAAAATGTATTATTTCTCCTGCAGAAATTTTTTCTTGTGCCTGAACCTTGGTGGAAACATATAAAATTTTTAATTATTTGATAAGCTCATTTGTACAAAGTTAAATTTCATATTATTTGAAAGGAATAATATCAAACCTTCATTTTATTTGTTTATTTGGTTTACAGTACAATTTTTTAGTTCTTGTGTTGTGACATCAATTGGAACAGTGAGAAAAGACTCACCAATCTAGTGATAGTATATTTACCTACATTGTGTGATCCAAGTTTGTGAAGTGTAACAGTCTTGCTTGGATAGAATGGCCTCCATGCCATCAAGCAGTGCCGTGCGGGCACTCAGTCTTGAGTATAGAAGTCTGCAGGAGGAACCTGTTGAAGGATTCAGTGTCAAACTCCTTAATGATGACAATTTATTTGAGTGGGAGGTTGCTATATATGGACCTCCTGACACCCTCTATCAAGGTGGATATTTCAAGGTATGTATGGTACTAGTAAATAGTAATGTTTGTCTCTATGCTGTGAAATGATTAACTTGGAATAACCCTATCAAGGGACATTGAAAGTCACCCTGAAATAAACTGGTAGTTTTCCTTAATCTTGATTTTTTAGTAACATGGCATACTTTATTTCTGTAGGTAAAAGACTATTAAAGATGAGTCTTTTTTGTCCAGCTCCCCCTGCATTCATAAAAGTTTTATGATGTGATGGTATTAAGTTATAAGTAGTTGCTAGTATGAGTTTTTTTTCACTAAATTTTACCTCTATACCTTCTTATGTTTCTTAATGCTTTTAATAATTTAATATCATGTGAAAATTTATTTACCATCATAGGAACACTTATTGGAATCTGGGGTCAATGTTGTCAAATAATAAATGAAGAATATTGGTTATGCAAGCTGTAATCAGTAAATGTATGGCTGTTCAAAATTTGATGCATGATCAGAGAGAGCTATGCCCAAATTTATTACATCAATGAGATCTGGCTTGTTTCATGTGAATATAACCTGAGTTTTGATTGGATAATGAATGTAAGAAGCTCATATTATTATTAAAGAATCTTCCCTTTGTAGATTGTAAGACTTGATTACTTTCATGCTGGAACTGGTTTGCCATCATAACCTTGCTAACTGTAGGTTTTTTGATTATGCTGCGTTTGAGGAGTTGGAACAATTTGTCTTGTTATAAACTTATTTATCATAATATAAATGCATGAAAATCAGTTTGCCAGAGACAATCATTCTAATTGCTTGATGTCACCATAATCCCAGGATCATCAGATAAGCTCCCTTCATGCATTGATAAGCTCAGTTTATTTGGGGTCTCATGCTTTTATTTTCTTCATTCATATGTTAAGCCACTAGAAATACTGTCATATTGTTGTTATAAAAGTACAAAAACTGGTTCTTCTATCAGTAGATAAAGTATTAATCAATTTATCTTGCAATGTTAAGCTTGGACTGTTGTTCAATTAGTTCCATTTGTGTTTACAACTATATATATTTATATATATTGGAGATAGGTGCCTGGCTGCCTGCATATGCCGCTATTTTTTATAGTTTCATCTTGCCTGTGTTCATTGCACTGCTTTTGCAACAATGCATGAATTTTTATGATTGTAAACCTCATCAGCTTGATGAGGATCATCTTAGGCAAGTCATGTCTCAAATGGTCTGAGTTAATCGATTGCTACACCGTTTCGTAGTACGTCATTGAATTTATTTAATTACAATAATTCTTTTAAACTTGGAATTGATTAAATTTTCATTATCATGATTCAAAGAATTAATCCATGGCCAATTTCTTGTCAAATTCGATGGCAGGAAATGAAGTACAGGAGTTGTGACCTCCGTCGCAGCTGTGCAACGAACATTCTTCCTTCCTGCTTGTCCACTGACACATCCCTGCTGCCTTCTCTTCTTACCTGCGCACACCAGGCACCTGACTGTTGATCATTTACTTCTTATTGAGAGCACGTGTTGCTTATATATTGTTTCTAAACGCATTTGTCCCCTGATAGCCCATTCAAGGTCAGGGGCATGCATGGCGTCACACGTGCTAAAGTGTCAATTTGTTCTCTAATTTATTTCGCTTCTTTTCTGGCACGTTTTTATGTCACATAATCCTCTATTTCAATCCTGATTCCCCTCCAAGCAAATACAGATTGATGTGCATTATCACCTATGTTTGTTCCACTTTCAGAAGTACAATTAAAAATTTTGTTTGGATATATTCCCGAACATTAGCTCGCTGTAATTAACAAACCCTGTTAGTCAATCACTGACCGTTTTGATGAGTCTAGATTTGTGATCAGCCGTCATTGATGATCACTGGAATTTATTTTTAGATTACCTGGCCTTCGGTTGCAGGGTGCCGTGTTCCTCATTGTTTTGGGCACGTGTACGCATCTTGATAGCGTGTAGTCCCCGCGCACTCACTTCTTGTGTAAGTGCATTAACTGTCTGGCAAACACTAATAGCTTATTTTTTTCGCTCGCGCTCAGTTTTTGGAGTTCTTTGCTCTTGCTGCAGAGTCTCGATAATCTTTACATTGCGTTACTCTGAAGTATAGTTGCTGTGCTAAACAACGCGGTAGTGCGCAGCAACGACATGCCTCACATCAGCTGGGCAGCTCGAGCATATCAGCTTTAGTAAGGGAGCCTCACTGGCCTATGTTCGCTTGCAGTCTCGTCACAGGTATTCCCTGCTACAACGTTCCAAATTATCAGCGGCTTAACAGGTGGTTTGTAATGCGCAATTTGGATCATTTGCGGAGCTTGGTATTGATTGTTGTTACTCGGACGACCCATAATGATGTAATCTTATGACGGGATTACCATTGCAAGTCATTTTTGTTAGAACGATTGTATGTGACAACAAGATTAATTGCCTTGCCACGTTTTTGTTGTCTAGATTCTGGAATAAGAACATCTTGCATATTCAATGGCCAATCACAGACAATGCTGCGTTCTCATCTCCCTAACCACCGCATGATATGATTCAAATCTGAATGCACCACCAATCTATCACTTTCAATCAGCCGAATTTATTTTCGGGAATTGGGACCATGGTCACCTATTAGTGTGTTCCTGTTTGGGTTGTGCGCTAGTGTTATGATAAGGCGTTCGTGTGTGGTTCATGTGAACGTGTGCTCTACATGTGTGCGTGTGTTTATGTGTACGTCTGTTGTTCATGTGTGCGTGTATTTATGTGTGTCTGTTGTTCATGTGTTCTTAATGTGAGAGTTAGTTCTTCATATAAGCGTAGTTCAAGCGTGCGCGTGTTCTTCATGTGAGAGTTTGTTCTTCACGTGAGTGTGTGTTGTTCATGTGTGCGTGTGTGTCAAGGTTAGGTAGTGTGGTTTGCTTGATATCTGACGAACGTTACTCTGATACGTAGTGTGTTGTAAAAACAAAACACTACGCATAACCTTTATAGAAACATCAATGTTAACATAACAGTATACGGTAATTGTAATGCAGTAACGCGAGAATAGTAATATATTTTTTCCCACTAAAATGATCGAGTTCTGTATCTCTAAAAGACGCATTACTATCGGTCTGTCTTAATGTAATAATTTTGTCCACATTTTTGTAAGAAGTCAGCGTTTCTAAATCAGTTTCGTTCTTCTTCAACTAAACCACGAGTAAGGGACTAGGTACTTTCACTTGACAATTGTCTTAAATATTGATAATGCTCCCCAAAATACATTGTTGTTCTACTAATCAAACCTATAGACTCATAAATGTGTGTTGTACTAGCAAGACGCGTGCTGCGCCAGTCAGCCTAGAATATGAGGCGCGTCATGGACGAGGCATCGCTCCTTGCCTAACCTTCGAGCGCCGCTACATCGCAAGGACAGGCAGCCTTCAACCTTCGCAGCGCGGCCGTGGTCGAGCTTTGCTCCGTTTTGCTTTGTTTTGCTTACAATACGGGGTTAAAGAATAAATAAGAGAGAACAAATTTCACAAATAAGAACAAATTTTACTCAATCTTCAAACGTGCTCGTTTGTGAAATTGGCTAAAGTGGTACGTTAGTCCTAGTATCATGGATACCGTTCTTATCAGATCACATTGACTGGTAATCACTGTTCGTCTAGTTATTGCCAGAACCTCCAGATAATTCTTCCAGTCGCAAGGCTCGCTAATATTCCCTGCCTCAGGGCCTTCACTGCCTCATATTTTTTTCTATATTTAAACTGATCGATGTTTGTCTCGTTTTGCCCTTAAACGTATAAAATTGAGTACAGTTTATGTATCCGTTGACATATTTGACACCATGTTGGGGAATGTGTATAATAATACTGTATGTACTCTGGAAGATCAAATGCGTTGAACCTTCTCTTTTAATTCCAAAAAATTTACATCCAAACATACTTGCAAATGCCACGATGGAAAATTACTTAATGATTCAGATTTCAGCGAGCTAATTACTAACTATCATTGTCGATAATTATCGGTTTATAGGAGCATAATTCTGAGTATATTATTATAAATTATTTTTATATTCTTTCCACCTTTTGGTATGCACCTATGCACCACCTATGCACCACTCTTTCGCTTCATTAGTTCAGCCCTGTGCTTTAACTTTCACATCTATCTTTTTACGAAGTAATTTATATTTTCCGGTTCATCGCTGCCACAACAGGCCTTCACTATCGATCGTTCTTCTATTCAATAAGGTTACGATGTCAGCGAGCCAAACGCTGAGGTTCCTCAAGTTCAGTTTTAATAAGACGATATCAGTGGATCGACATACAATCAGAGCCATTCTTTGGCCTGAGATCTAAATCTATCGAACTGTATATGTCACCATAATTATATTCCATATCAAAATTTTAACCTCCCGAACTTTTGGAATCCGACGACTCTCCACATAACAAACGGCTTTCGATCACACCCGCAGGGGTTCGAGCAAAAGGCTGATACTGATGGATCGGGCTTACGTTTTCATAGTTTGGAAGGTACGCTCAATCGCTCATCATAGAACTTTCGTTGTCTGAACCTAACCCAAGGTTTGTAAATTAGTGTCTATGCGTACTGAGTGGAGAGTAAATTTGGTTTCAGTTGAATTGAGATAAAAAACTCTGTTATTCATAAACCTGAAGGTTCAATCCATGCAACGATAAACTCGTGAGCGCAAGTACCTCTCGAATTATTCTAGTGTCATTTAGCCTTGGTTTGCACATCCACTGGGTAATTTTAACGCTCCTCAGAATCTTTGTGGCGGAATAAGGGGAGCTCATTGCATAAAGGTTTCTTTTTCAAGTTTGAGCTTTTTATGTTGAAATAGATGACGGTACACGTTCTGGTCACTTCACTTGGGTTGCCGCGTCGTCACTCTTACCTCGTCGGTCTGAATTAGTTTGTGGCGTACTTTTTATGCAATCTGCTAATGATAATTTCGATATTTACATGATGTTTTCATTTAACGTGAACATTCCTACGCTCTCGTCTTATTCTTTGTTGAACGTTTACAG